AATCCAACACACAGTCGATATGACTGGCCCAACCCGTAACAGCCTAGAACTCGTGGTTCTATATGGGCAACCTTCGCGAAGCAAAGCCACAGATACCAAGGCCGGCAGTTACGTGCTTGCAGACGAGAAGCGTCCAAGACTCGACGCAGGTTTCGGCGTCATAATCCTATCGAAGGTTTAAGGTGGAGTGTGTTTCTACATTTCAGGCTTACGGGTTTCAAGGGACTGCAGAAGCTAAACTAATGCCTGTTATGATGATTAGGGTTCAGGATGCAAGGTTATGGTGTTAAGTTTAGGACGGTGGTATAGCAACAGACAGACCATTCGGCAAGGCAAAGCACATGAAAAATCGACCAGCGTTTTAGCCGTTTTACCCTTTCCAAAACAAGCCGCGACCCTTAACTACATGTATCCTTAAGGCCGGGGGGGTGCGAGGGGGGTAAATAGCCTGGTAGTCATTAGTCCTCGGTTAGCTCTAAAACTCCCCAGGGTTCCTGAAGGTTCCCCAAGGATCCCTTGCACCCTCCCCTTTGGACCACCCTCCTGTGAGGATCCTACAATGAAACATCGCAGGGCAATCAGCACTTGGAGCCAAAAAAATTGAACAACGATCCGATCCGCTTCTAACGAAACTAAGGAACTCCGTTGCTCAACATATCATCCCAACTCTGTTTACTCCATATTTTCATGCCTCTTGTGTGGACGGGAAGGTAGCCTTCTGCGAAGCAATCACGAAGGTATGGGGCTCCCTCCTCAGGTAAGTTGAAGGAAGCAGCGTCAGGCAAGTCAGGCAAGAGTCGGCTGTCGGTGGCCTGTTGAGGGGGTCCTGAAGAAGCTGCCTCGCCCGATGCGTGAGGCGATGCCGAAGCCGCATCAGCCGCGATGTTCCGGCAGCCAGCAGGAAGAGCTCTTGCTGTTGGACATCGAGTATCGCCAGTTCGGCGGACAAGTACTTCTCCTTGCTGAACACTTTCTCGAATGTAATGGCTGCTTCACGAATGGCGCTTCACCTGTGAATAGGACTCTAGCACTCCCTCAATAGCATTGCCAGGCACTCCACGACTGACGCGGTTTCGAAAGACCTCGTCACTGCGCACAGAGACATCATTCAGAGGGAGTCTGCAGGGGTGTTATTAATCAGCGGTTACCGAGCCGCGGAGGCCGGTGGTGCGCAGTTGGCTTCAGGCGCGAAACATGACGTCGGCAGAGGAAATGCAAAGGTTGACCTCTGTCTGTGCGAACCGGAGGGTTACATTACGTGAGGCTTACTTGTTGGGTTCAGGTGTAGAGCGGCAGGCCACGTGGAAGCCTACACAGTTAGACAGGGTGTTGCTTCTTGTTGCAGTATGGTTATACGGATGTCAATCTACGGTTTTTGTTACGGCCTTGTGGGCGGGAAGCACAACGGGTGGGGGGAGATCAAAGCCCAGGGCGCGGGCTGTGGGACATATTGCACTTTGAAGTTTTTATATGAAGAGGGTGTCGAAGCCGAGGCTTGGCCATGCGAAGACTTCGGGTTCAAGGAGGCGGTGTTAAAACTTTAGAGTTGAAGACCACTGACTTTGCAGTGTTTTGGCTAAAGATGCCAATCTGACTGGTGAGGATGAGCTTATAATACCTTGCCGCAGCTGGTCTGAGTCCCTCAGGCCGTCATTTTCTTGGAATCTCCTCAACGGTTCTCCATAAGTCTTCATCGTCATCTTCGAAGCGATCGACATGATATGCGAGTGAAGGGGCTTTGAGACTCCGAACACGGGGGGGGGAAAAGGTACCGCAGCTATGTAGGGACTACAAGACGAATAACAGGCACTCCTAGCAATTCTTGCTACCCTTGCACATGGCTAAGTTGAGAATGATCGGCTGAAACACGGACAGGCGACACGAAACTCTCGTCAGCTTCCCAACTCGCAACTATGGCTGGCCTGCCGGTATCAGCGTGACGGCTTCTGTCAGTCTCAGCTTGTGGCAACACAACGCATCAACTTTGGTCGGGGTCCGTCTTCCAGGAGCATTTACGCGTGTTGGGCTGTACGCGGTTAGTGCCCCCTGCGAAGATCTCGAGTTACTGAGTCCTCTGACCGGCAAAGCTGCAAAATGAAAAAACAACTATATCGAAAAGCCCCCTAAACCTTAAACATCCCTGAACGCTGTCTCGAGCACTCCGATGGACTTCAGATTTGTGGAGCTAGTTGCACTGGGCCTGACACTCCGAAGCGTTTAGGGCTCAGCCTTTGGGGCCTAAGATTTGGGGTTTATGGGTTTAGGGAACTTCCAACATGAAATGAACGTGGACATTCATGTCCCGAGTCCAATGGTTCTGGCAACTGCTGGAACACTTTAGCTTAGGGTTTAGGGTTTGGGTTTAATATTGCCTTCTGTTTTTGGAAGAGTGGGGCGCCTTGGAACCTGTACACCTGGAACGTCTCTTTGCCATCTTACACCACTACACCGGAAATGCTAAACCCCTACGCCCTAAACCGGAAAGCGCCAAACCAAAACCCAAACACCCGAACTCGAAATCCTGAACCAAATACCCCAGCTCCCTAAACCCTAAACCCTAAACCCTAAACCCTAAACCGTGAATCTGAAACCAGAAGCCCCAGACCCAACATCACGACTGAGGTTCCAGAACACCGAAGCATGAAATCTCACAAGCTTCATGGGTTCATAAACCCTGAGGTGCACCAGAATTGACGAGCAAAGCCTTAACCTCAAAACCTAAACCCTAAACCCTAAACCCTAAACCCTAAACCCAAACCCCTAACCCCTAAACCCAAACCCCTAACCCCTAAACCCTAACCCCTAAACCCAAAACAACCCCCGGGTCGCCACTAAATACGCAACATTAGACACTCAGAGAACTACAGAAATTCAAGGAAACTACAGGTGGGGAGTTTAGGGTATATGGGGCTTCTATAAGGCTTCTATAAGGTATATAGACCTTCTATAAGGCTCCCATACCGGTAACTACCCACCTGAAAATGTCCTAGAAGAGACGATCTCAAACAAGGAACAAGCAACAACCAACTCACACAGCCACACACACCCTGAAAAAAAACAAGAAACAGAACCAGTAACAAAGTAAAACCCTGCACCCCAAACCCCAAACCAGAAATAAATAAACCCGAAACCTGAAAGCCCGAAGCCCCAAGCCCTAAACCCAAAGTTAAAAGTTCCTAAATAGACCAATAATGAACACCAAACCCCTACGCCCCGAAGCCTAAACCCCTAAGCCCTAAACCCTAAACAAACACCCTAAACCCTAAACCCTAAACCCTCACAAAAAGGGCGTCTCCTGCGAAGCCAGGGCTTCCTCGCTCTCACACCTGGGGATGGAAGACCCTTAGGGCCCATGTGGGTGGCTCTCGAAACTAGGGTTTAGGGTTTAGGGTCTAGGGCTTGAGGTTTAGGGCCTTTTTGCGTATAGAGGAAACTACAAGTGGGGAGCTTATGGTATATAGGGCTTCTAGAAGGCTTCCGTAAGGTATATAGACCTTCTATAAGGCTCCTATAGCGATAACTACCCACCTGAAAATGTCCTAGAATACAGTACGGCACTCTTATAAAAAGGACTAATATAGAGACCTACCCATGTACCTCCAAAGCTTCCTTTGAGGGTACCATAGGGGTTTAGGGATATTTAGGGTTTAGGGTTTAGGGGTGTAGGGTTTAAGGGGACATTTAGGGTATTCGGAAATCGAAGGTGAGATCTTATCGGGGGCCCCTAAACCCAAAGCCCTACACCCGAAAGCGCGCTTCAGACGGCCCCTTTTCAGGGGATCTCCATGGGGCTTTAGAGGGCTCCTTGTTAAGGGCTCCTTGGGCTCATGTGGGCACATATTGGGATTTAGGGTTTGGGGTTCAGGGTTTAGGGTTCAGGGTTTAGGGCTTTTAGGCACGGCTTGCGGTTTAGGGTTCGGGGTTTAGGGTTGTGGGGTTCAGGGTTCAGCGTTTAGCCCTATCCGTCCTGCCAGCATCAGCCCTGAACCCCAAGCGCTAAACCCTCCAGTTGGCAAGTTGGAGCTTTGGCTCGTCATCTCAGATGAGACCCTCAAAAACCTTCAAACCTAGACCGTAAAGGGTGTCTCAGTTGCAGAGTTACCGGGTGTAAGGAAACAGAGATTTGGAGGGATGAAGCAGCCAATATCAGCGAACAAGAAGCTAAGAGAGACTAGCTTAGCATGTTAGCGGACAGGTGCCTTCCGGGGTAAGTATAGTGCGTAAGATCCCTATATGAAGAGGAAGGTCCGGGTATCACGCCCATGCATACTACAGCGACAGCACTGCTTGGGAAATGATTGGTTTAAGACCTCGTGCGACACAAAATGTACAAAACATGCGCAAAGTGACAATAAGAAAACCAGGCTATGGCCCCAGCGTGAGTTTGGTGCTCAGGGTGGCGACTAAGCTACAGTAAGCAAAGAGGAAATCACACTGCAATGTAATTTAGGTCAAGGGTTGTGTTCAATATGGGGATGTCATGCCCCCTGAATCACTCCGTCCGCCGCAAGGAAGCCCATGTTCTGGGCTGTGGACCTTGAGGAGGGGCTCGCCATCATGGCACCGAACTTCTGCTGGACCGTCTCCAACAGGGGCTGAAGCATCACCACTCGCATGGGAGCCGTGATCTGCCATGGTTGGGCCTCTTTGATTGAGTGCCACTTCTCCCCAACCCGTGAACAGCGACTGTGCCAGGTTCCCCGGGCCCTGGGTTCCCACAAACAGGATGAATGCCGTGTCCTGCTTGTGGATGTTGAGCTGGACCTCCTGGCGTAGGATGAGGGTCGTCAGCATGCTCACAATCGCCTTGAGCTCCGCAAGCTGCTGCTCCTGATCTTGCCGTCGACCTTGGACCCTGAAACCCCTGAAACCCTAAACCTTAGTTGTAGAACCCTATAAAGTTACCCCTATGCAAACCCTTATAGAACTTTGATACGCCCCAAACCGTTTATGTCCTCGTCTGGCGAACCTCGCAGCAAAGCCGGGTGCAACCAAGCGACGACTTCGTCTCTACCTGCTCTCTTAGTTTGGGGTTGCGGGTTTAGGGTAATGTAGGGGCCGTAAAAATTAGAATAGGGTTTAGCGGGTTCCTTATTCTAACTATCGTGCAATATACCCCAAACCCTATTATAATTCTTACGGCCCCTATGTTAGCTTGGTTGACTCGGAAAAAGACAGACAGAGAGAAGCAACGGCACACTGTCAACAATACAGAAAACACGCAAACACAGAAACACAAACACAAACACACACACACACACATACGCGCACAGAAACACAAACACACACACACACACCCCTGAATCAAGCGTGGGCAACCAGGAGCTGGTCGGGAAAACCAGCATAAACGTAGAGCTGTATGCACGTATGATGTATGTATGTACGGTTTCACGAATGTAGGTGTGGAACAGCTATGCATGCACGCATACATGCATGCATGGATGTACATACGTAAGTTTGTGTGTGTTTGCTTGTATGTACGTATGAACCGCTGAACGAATGGATGTATTTATGTAGGTATGTGTAAGTAATAATAAGTATGTATGTAAGTGTGTATGTATGTGTGTATGTATGT